TATTAAAGTTTTTCTTCATTACTCATTCAAGCCGTCTCCAGCCATTATATATAAAACTAGTCTTGAATACGTGTACTCGGTCCAATAAGACATCTTGCCATGCAAGTTCGTTCTTAGTTTGCTTCTATCATTGGCCTTGTCTTTTGCATATTTTTTTTGTACTGAATGTTACTACTTAGGGGATAATAGCACTTGCACCACCAAGTTCTATATTTTTTTATTTTTAAACGCACTTTTTCATTTAGCGTAACTAACAATTAAAATTTAAGACATTATACAATTAAGCATGATGTTAGGCTTAAAGATTCATGATAAATGAATGTATGTCTCAACATCCCAAAAATAATTTTCACCTGTTAAACATTTACCGCTGGATTTGTTTTACAGTGGATACCACGCCAATTCCTTGTCCTTTTAAAGGTTCCTTCACCTTCAGTTACAGCCGAGGTCACGGCGAATGTAGCAACCCAGTGTCAACTGTTGATTCTTGCACAGACGATTCTCATCTTTTCTTTAAATTCCAAGCATGCGCAGATGTGCGCAATTCAGAGAGTAGAGGTAAGTTTTTTTTTATGTCGTTATGACTGGTTGTCTAGTGTCAACTTCATGAAAATAACCTGCTTTCAAAAACATTTGATTGTCAGACGCTCTGGGCGCAAAAAACTTCTTACACGAAATAAGAAGCTGATCTCCAAGACAGTTTTTTTACGATAACTGTAATGTCTGCTGTTGTAGGGTTTTTATTTAAATTCGTTCTGTAAATTTTTCTTCTGTAATTTTCAAGTAATTCTAACGTAGATATTGACATACGTAAAAATTCTGATGTGAGTATTATAAACTATTATACTGTTTTGTTAAGATTTTATAGACCAAAAGAAAGTGTCATTTCTTGATATAATCTGGAAAGAGATCTTGCTGTTGAAATATCAAAAAATACATTTATCAAGAATAATTTAGATACTCTGTAGAAGATTACAAAAATTGATCTATATATAAAGTTTCGTTAATAAATAAATATATGATTACAGCGATTTATGTATATTTTTGTTCTACTTTTTCTTTCCGTGTAGAGGAAAAACTGTCTTGTTTTGGATCATGGAAGGAGGGCTCAACACGTTATTTGATTGCCAAAATGGAACATAAAGACACAATCACTGAAGAAGATAAATTTCGATGTTTTGTAAGTCATATTATTCTCTTACAAACTTCTTCATCAGTTCTTAGGCTTTCGAATGAATTTGATATTTAGTTGAAATTCAGTTTAAAATAAATGTTAGTTTTATGTCTTATCCTGTTACGAAATGTACATGTTTTCTAGATTAATTTCATTGCGTATAACGAATTATAAGGATTTCGTTAGTAATTTAAATATTGTTAATTCGTTTACTTTATTGAATTACTCAAAGAAAAGTTTTCGATTGAAAGGTTTACGACAAATTGAAAAACGGTTCAGGCTATCAAATTGCCCAATCAGGAGACGCCACGTGTGATGGACTATTTTCTGCTACGGAAGGATCGCGAACAATGACCCTTATCAAGAGTGGTAGGTTGTTTTAAGCTGAAGTTGAAACTAATTAATTTTATTATTATTTTTTTTGGATTTTCGAATTTTTTTAGCTCATTAATATAAGATTTTTTTTTTCTAATCTCTACAAATGGCATAATAGATGAGGATTTATGAGAAAAGTATTATCATACAACTGAAAACGTATGATTAACGTAGGTACCGCCATTGCTTAAAGGTTTTTTGAGAAAATGAAATTTTCATATCTAATTTAAGTATCACATTAAAAACTGTATGACAACTTAAAAATATTATTTATATGCGGTGGAATACTGCTAACTTCTTGAAGATTTGAAACCGTTTACACTATAAAGAATTCAGGCTAATGAAATTTATCTAAAATACAGCATTCAGCATCATATTAATGATCAGAACTGTAATATTAATATCTACACATAAGTGAGAAAAGATAAAATGAATTATGTCTAATATTTTTTAGAAAATAAATATAAGTTAATTTGAAACTTTCATAACTAATATTTTTAATGTACTGGTTCTGTTTATTGTTTATTAAGTGGAAACGAAAAACAGTTGATTCAATTCTTGAATCAAAACATTTCTGTTTAGAATATTTTCAACGTAGCTTTTCTACTCACTTTAATAATGACTAATGGCATTTTTTTCTAGTTTATATATCTTTTATATCAATTCACAAAGTCCAGCTTACGAAACCCTATTGTCAGAAGTCTCTCGTACAACTTGTATATATGCTTCCTTTTGTGAGAAACACTGTGTTGGTAATTCAGAAGTACTGCCACGTCATAGTTATCTATAATTTACTTTCCTTAGCGTTAATGACTTAGCGATTCGTACATTAGGAATCAATTATCTGTAAACCACTAAAAAAAGTCAGCCTTAAAAGCGTTATGCTAATTCTAATTTTCTTTAACCTTTTTGATCTGTCACAGTTTGTAAGAAAATAAAATCGGATGATCAATTTTTGGATATTTTTCAAAGAAGTAAATAATGTGGGGATATATATATTGTTACATGCTGTTTCTTATTATTTTTTTTCCAAACCTCGACCATAAGTAAAGTGTCATAAACTTGGTTTTATGGTAAGTGGCTGAATAGAAAGACAAAAGACCGATTTCTGCACGTTTTGACTTTTACAATTGTTAGTGAATTTGAAGCAAAGTAAGCGATGCAGTTAGTAACAGACGAAAAAACTCAGCCTCTCGTAAACGTTATTCTAATGGTGGTATTCAAAAATTGAGAAGTATAAGGATAACTGCAGCTGTATTGGTTGTGCTGTTAAAAAAATGTTTGAAGCCGAAAGGTGTAACTGACTTCAGAGTTTGTTGAATAAATGTATTTTCATTTTAGACAAAGATTATGTTGTAAAATATCGTTCAGGTTAATAATCATTCACTTATCTGACTATACAATTTCGATGTCATTTCTAAACTAATACAACAAAAAGGAACAATCTTAGTAGATCAAAAAATTGAAACGTCAGATTTAAAACAGAATTTTTTTTATTGATCTTAAGCACAAAAAAAAAAAATTGGGTTATCTCTGCTCAGCCCATCGCGGGTATCAAAATCCAGAGTTTAGCGTTATAAGCCACTGAGGTCAAAACTAAAGTTAAATCCATTTTTAGACTAAATATTAACTACAGATTTGAAATAAATCTTCCTATGATTTCATGGGGCCAGTGAAAGTTTCTTAGTTTCAAGATAATCAACCTAAATAATGAAAATGTTTTTGTCGTGATTTTAAGCAATACGAATTCTCTATTCTGGTTCGTTTTCGCCGTTCTAATTTACCTTCATGTTTTAGTTGCTACAGTTGCATATGAACAATAAATAGTGTAACATAGAGCATAACGTACGGCTTATAATCACAATAAAAGTATAGATAAGTGAATCCTAATAAAATAAAATTCCAGAATTTCAAATTTTCCACCATTGCATCAGTTTGCTGAAACTGGATTTGTCGGTGTTTGAGGTTACTGCAGACTAATACAGCTTACTATCAACATTTGGATCATCTCATGTCGCATATGTTTACCTTTGAGCTTGGCCTCAGGTGTTATGAGCCTTATATTTATACCGCTCAATACAATACTTAAATCGCAGTTATATTTCAGTATTCTATTAAGTATTTGAGAGATGGTCACTACCCAATGCAATATCTGTATCTGCTAATTCAAACATTTATTTTTTAGTGACAAACATCAAAATTTAAAAGGTTTATAAAACAGAGTATTATTTTTATTACTTTTATGTATGTACATAAATGGTTTCATATTACAAGTTTAAATGTGTTTTGGTTTCTCTAAGTGAATTTTCCTTTTTGATGTAAAAAATGATCAACGTTGACTTTATAAAGAAAGTTCTTACCTACTTTTGATATCGGCAATATATCAGTATTAGCTTTATTAAAACAGTTTTTCCTAATTTGTTGTCGGATATATATCAATGTAGCTTCGTACAAGCACATAAAACCAAACTTTTTTTCTCTTTAATTTATGTTTTATGTCTGTGACTAACAAAACTTGACATTGCACCTCGCATTATTTTCATCCATTACTGTTTTTGATGTTATTCTTTAGAGATGTTGCTTTTTTCATTATTCTTGTCAGTTAAGTGATATCAATGAAATGTTTGAGCCAAGAAAAATATACGATTTTAGATTCACTTTCTTATTGCGTTTGTAACATTTTCAAGTGGCCCAAAGTGCTCTTTCATGTCTGATCTTGTACAGAGAGTTTCTCGGGTGCCAAGTGTCGCTTTCCTCTGTGGTTTACCGAATATTCTCACTGGCAGTCTCTAGACGGCTCAAAATTTTACACCACTGATAACAGCTTGAAGTCCTTCCGCTTATCAAATAGTTCCAGGAAGGGTGACAGCATGAGGGTGGCTTGCAACAGGATCCACGAACTGCACGATTCACTCTATGAAATAACAGTTCACGTAACGTCAGGCTGGTAAGTTCAACTTCCTATGTACTTTTCAGCAGATCCTGTCTTATTTGCGTATGACGAAGTATATCTAAGGCGTGAGAATCTTAACTTTTATTTTTTATGTACATATGTGTGTCTACTGTATTTGTGTTGCAGTTTTAAACAGACTGTCTCTCACTATATATTTCTGTTTGGTATGTTAAAGTATGAACATTCATACCGGCTTGAATACGTCTCGTATGAACATACCATGATAATCAGTTTGTTGATTCCAACAATGCTAGTATTCCAACAGTGTTAGCTACTTTTTTTTTTTTTTACATTTCTGAAGTTTTAAACTTAATATGATATTTCCAAAAACCAACATACCAGCGCGGTCCAGTCGTTAAGCGCCAGACTGTGTAACTGAACGTCCGTCTTTCGCGTCCCGTGAGTGCATTATAATAGAGACACTCAAGTTCCACTATTTGGTGTGACAAGAGTAACTCAAAAGTTGGTGATATTAACTAACTGCTTTTTCTTTACTATATCAATTCAAAATTAGGGACTCGTGTAGCTTTGTGCGAAACCCAACAAAACAAAGGAACAAATAAAGCCAAAATCAATTGACAAATCAAGGATTCTGTGTTCCACAAGCCGATTACTGTAGCTCAAGTCACCTACAGAATTCCTTCCTTACTAATCAACTGAATGAGAACAGAGTTTTAAGGTATTCAATGGAACCACCAGCTCAAATGTTTAAAACATCTGCTTAAAAAAACAAAAAAGAGTTGCTGGCTCAAATATTGCCCAATTACAGTTTTCAATTCTTCAGAGAAATTCTAGCATTAAAAGATGATGAGCTAGTTTTAAATACTTCTTCTGCTTCATGATAATGACTTGGATTACATGGACCATGAATGGGAAAGATAAAACAGACTACATCTATGCATTCAATCATTCGTCTTCCTTGTTGTTTCTAGCGACACATTAAACTTTCACACTGCTGTCAACAGCAGCTGCATCGAAAACACTACAGATTAAAAAAAAAGCGTAAAAAGGTAGAGTAATGCACTTGTTGCGGTCGTTATCTCAGGACAAAAAAAAATTATTGTTTCGTAGCATAATTCTACAGCAGGGTTTTCAAACTTGCAGAAAGAATATTCACTGAATGTTGTGCGATAAGAAACGTTTTGTTCAATAGTTTTATAACTTTATATAATGGCCGACCAAAATGGTTTGATTGTTTGTTTGTTTTTGAATTTCGCGCAAAGCTACACGAGGGCTATCTGCGATAGCCGTCC